TATATTATTATGTTGTTTGGTTTGATGAAAGACCCAATAATATTCTTAATGAATTGGAAGATTTTGCAAAAGGAAAAGATCCCTATGATCCTGATATAGCGGAACAATTTAATGATGACCCACTAAAATATTGGAGTTATATGGGTGGTGGTACTAATAAAGAACTTCATAAAGTTGCAAAAAGAGTATTTTCAAATAACAGTGACGACTGCCGCAGTTGAACGCTTGTTTTCTAATATGGGGTATTTACATTCGGACAGAAGAAATAGGCTTGATGTAAGTAACTCAATTGAATATAATATATTGTTATTGTTTGTTAGTGACTAATTTTATTAATATTTATTTAGCATAACAAGGTGTTATCAATGGGTCAATTAAGGAATGACATGAATAATAGAAGAAAAAAGACTGAGATTGATGAATCACAAAAAAAATTCCATTCCAAAAATTATGTTGCTCCGGTTGAGGAATCAGAAATACAAGAAAGTGAAATAAGCAATGAATCTTTTATAGGAAACATTGAAAATGAGGTTCAATGGAATGCAGTGATGGATCGGTGGATGGAAATGCTGAATGATGAGGTATTAGAAGAGGAAGAAGAAGAAGAATTAAATGAATTAGTAGGTCCAATAGGGTCAATTGAAAGAATCAAAAGGACTAGACACCCAGCTATTAATAGACAGAAAGGAAAATGGGAAATAGAAGAAATCTTTGAAAATAATTTAGATGATCCTTCTTTTTATCAAGAATTATAAAATATATAATTTCTTTGTTATAATTTTTAAAAAATATTGTTAATAATAATAAAATTTTATCTGTCATCATTAATTTAAATGCTGAAATATAATTGGCTACCCCTTAGAATTGGTCCAAAGTCCAATAGATTTATTGGACTGGACTGCTTGGACTGGTCCAATAAGTTCAGTCCTATAAGTCCAATTGCCAACACTGGCTGAGGGTGCTGAAGAAATGATATATTCTCATTCTTGGGATTATTATTTATAAATAAATAAATAAATATATATATATATATATATATATATTTTAATTTTTATTATAGGAAATTTTAATGTATATTAATATTTCATAAAAATATTGATCAACATTGTACCCGACAGGCAAAAAAATTGAGCCATGATTTACTATTAAATTAACACGTGATTCCCCCTACCCTTAAACATTATCTTTTATAATCTATTTATTATTATATAGGATTTTGCATTCAAGACAACACCCTTTATAAAACTCCAAGCATTTATAATGATTAGCATGACACATATTAATGTTATACCTTCTTGTTCATCCTTTTTGATTGCAACAATCATAGTTATTATTAGATGGTGGTTTAGAACTAAACAGCAGTAAGCATTTAATTTCACTCACCTACCATAAATATCCAACCACTTGTGCTGTGTAA